AGCGCGGCCCCTTCGCTTCGCCGGGGAAGGGCCGCGCTCGGCGGGGACGGGGTGTGCGGCGGGCTCGGTGGACGGTGAGATCGAGGGCGGCGTGCAGTGCGCCCGCCCGCCGCGGCCGGAGCTTCCCCGGGGACGGGCGAGGGGGAAGGAGCGCTGCCGAGGAGCCCTGCCCCGGCTCGGCGCCCGGGAGCGCGGCCGGGCCGGGCTCTGCGGGTCCTGCCGAAGCCCGCAGGCAGGGTGTCCTCCCCAGCCTCCCGCCCCGGTCCTCTCCCGCGCAGACCGCGGGTAGGAGACGGCCGCCAAGGCCGGGGGGGGGGGGGACGGGACGGGGACGGGGACCGCGGGGTCTGTGCGTCACCCGAAGAAAACGCTCACACCTGGGCTCCCTGCGCGACCCCGGCCGGCATCTCCGGCAGCCCCGCGGCTCCCTCGGGGGCCGGGAGCCGGGCGGGGAGCGAGCCGCCCCCGCGGCTGTTGCCCTCGCAGCCTTCCTGGCCCGGGCAGGGCTGGAGGGAGGCGGCGGAGCCCTGCGCCGGAGGGGGAAGGTCGCGTTCTGCTCTGCGGTGCTGAGCAGGGCAGGGAGACCGCCGCGACGCTTTCCCGCACTGGCTGTCGAGATAACTAACATCCAGTTGTCTCGACACCTTACAAATTCTTCGCTCTCGACGGAGAGGAGTAAAGAAACATCATCGGGCAAAAAAGTTACTCCGGTCAAACGTAGGCGATCGCTGACGGGCGAGGACTGTGCTGAGGAGACAGCTGAGTTATTTTCTGTGGAATAGGGAAAGTACACTGCAGACAGATGGGCTAAAGAAAGAGTAATCCTAGAGCACTTCTTAAGGCTGAAAATATTCCCAAAGTGTTCTTAATCCAATCACCAGCCTCCCAAAGCCTGCTTCCCTCCCATCCCCAAAAGCAACCAGCTACGGAGGATGGACACAGTCCACCTGTTAAATCTCACAGCTATCAGAAAAAGTCTTGTAGTCCCAACTATGCTTCGTAAAATACTCAGTTCCCGCCACACCGTGAAGAAATCCGCAGGGCCCTGCATCCATTCTGTACATCAAAAGATTAAGCTGCTGTATGAGATCAGGATTCCAAGCGGAGACTGTAAAGTCTATAGTTTAAAGAGTAGCAGCAAATAACTTTTATGACATCCATTAATCTCTTTGAAGCATATTCGTGTATCCAGTTCCCTGGAAGAAAGTGGTACATGCAATTGCTAAAAGCCTGTAGCTCCAAAACTGCCGTCTCCACAGATTCATCCTATATGGGCTATTAATAGTTCCATTAGTCTTCCCTTGAGTAGTTCTAGTAACAGTACCGTAGCCCAAAGATTTTCTACATACAGCCATAAGCAAATAATCTTCTCGTGGGAGCAATGTTCTTAAACTCCCTGTTCGAAAGCTGTTGCGGACAAGAAAGGACTTGGCGCTTGCACTGTGCCCAGCACAACAGAGTTTGGGTCCTTCTAGGGATGTCTGCCTGCAGATTCACTATCGTAACAAGAATTGGCATCAGGCGTCTAAATGACTACGGGTCTTTCATTTATTTGAAACTTCTCGATTCCCTCCTTAACCAAAAGTTCTTAGATTATGAACAAGTATGATATTCCCAATGGCAGCTCTGGGGATACAAACCTGTCTAGATTAAACCAAAAACTCGTTCTTACATCATTTATATCCAGAGTACCTTAACACAGGTAAGCAACACACGGCATCCCGAGCCCAGAAAGCCCGACTTCCTCAAATAGCTGGTGGAAGCTGAGAAGCCAGAAACAGCTCCTGGTTTTGTTCCAGATCCCTTCCCGAAAGAGATGTGGTAACTGTTCCTTCCACTGTTCCAATCCATCCTCTGACAGTATGGATTATTGCTCCATCCAGTGCAAACACCAGTGAATATAACTGTATAATTCATTGAGGAGAATACTGCAAAGTTACTGGCGTAGAGATGACCTACTTTCCGCCAGCTCTGGTCTGAGATTTAAGCTTTGGTCTATCAACAGAAGTATTAATTGTCAGTGCTTTTATTATTTCTTTTTCCTGGAAGCATTCATAATAGGGTAGGAAATTTATAAACATAAAATAAGGCCTGGTTTCCACTCTCCACGAGCCTACAAACTCGGTACATTTCCAAAGAAATTAGAGGAACTGCCTACAAGATTAAGATGGAGGGAATCAAAAGTAAGATGGAGATTTTGCTACCTAACCCAGGACATTTATAAAGAGGCCGTTCATTACTCAGTAGTCAGTGTGATGGCTTGGAGAGGGTTAATTGGCCTCTGTTCCCAGGGGGGATCTTTTTAAACTGTGCAGTCTAACAGCAGCTATAGTATTTTGCATCAGAACACAGAACTCCAGGCTGCAGCAAAGTATCTTTTAGAAAGACAGAAAATTACAGGTTAAATAGGCCTTGGAGATTACAAATAGCAACAAGGACACACACACACACACACACCCCCCCTTCCCTTGCTCACTTCTTCATCCCTGCAAATCAACAGGCTCATGCCGTGCACCATCACGGGGAGATGTCACCTACAGACAGCAACCTAATATAACCCATACGTAACTACAACTAACTCCCACCTGTGGAAGTCCGGGAGCTCAGATGGTCTCAGCTGGTAGTGTACTGCACGAGGAGAGAACTTGGTTTTTTTTTTCCAAGCTGCTGTGTTTCCCCAAAGATCTGCAATGCAGTCTGTGCGATTGGAAGCGTGTCACTGAGTTTACAGCGCCTGCTCACCATGTACGTAAGAGCGCCCAGAGTCAGGGCACCCTCCGTTCTGCTCAAGGGGGTCCTGTTTTCTCCACCCTAGTTCTCATGAAGCGTGAGCTACTCAAAAGGGATAGCGCTAAGGCAAGACTAAGGCCCTAGCTTGGGGGGAGCAGCAATGGTTTGACTTTGAAAGAGGTCTCGGCCAGGGATGGGAGAGCAGATGGTGAAATTCAGGAGAATTTTTCTGCCGTTTCCTCAGTTCTTCAAGGAGCGTACAGCTCTGCACTGCCTCCGAGGAACACTCTTGGCCTACCAGTGCTAGAGGCCACCCTGCCCAGAAGGGTCCTATACTGGGTGGGTAGTTCACTTTTGTGGCCGATCAGAGCAGCCACAGATCTTTACGTAGTCAAAGGCTACGATGGGTACTCAAGGAGCCGGGAATCCTGATATTCTGTTTCTAGAAAACCAGTCCTCCCAGGAGAAGTACACTTTGCAAGTATTGTCTGCATCTGTGGGAAAAGTACTTTTGTTTTCCCTGGTTCTTTTTGAATGGACTCCCTCTGGTCTCTGGGGGTACAAGAGTGAGAAGGGCAGGCACAGGACCCTTGAGTGCACCTACCAGATGGGCCAGGGGGAATCACCACTCTTCCCCTCACTTCTTGTCATCCAACTGGGGGAACCAACAGCGGCTGCTGCTTCAGAATCGGCAATCTGCAGATGGCTGGGAGAATGCTTTAGGGAAGCGTGACTGCGACTGACAAACAAGACCCAAAAAAGAACATTTAGGCTCACTCTCAGGCCTTGTCTGCACTGGGGAATTTTCTTCCCTCCTCCAAATTCCCACCATTGCTAATATGAATGCAGCTGCACAATTGTTAGGGATGTTTGGAGTCATAATATATGAGTTTTCATCTCGTCAGCCATTTGCAGCACTGTGTCAATTAACCCTCCTCAGAGCAGGGTTAACTGATACAGTGCTGAAAACGGCTGCTGGAGCCGAAAGCTGTCTATACTAAGGCTCCCATTGTTGCTAACCCTGGTGCAGCTGCAGTGGAATCAGCCCACATGGGATTATTTTGGTAACAAGTCTCCAACCTAAAAGCAGCCTAGAAATGCAACATAGCCACCTTATGGGACAAAACAGGCTTCCGCTGCACCTCAACAGCTATGCACCTAGGCTGTCACCCTTCATAATGAGGTTTTTCTTACAGTCCTTTCAGTCCAGAAGGTGCTTTTTGTATTTCTGTATGAAATACTCAGTAGACTTCATCTCAGCAAACTGGTGTTCCTGTCACCTCCATAGGGCTGCCTCTGCTCATTAGTTCTCACTAGCTCTGGACTTGTAGATGCATGGAGGAAGAGCCAATTGTCTGGTGGTGTTTTTTCATTGATTCATACTTCCATTAATTCAAAACAAAATTTGCCCCTTCACTCCTGGCAACTTTGTAATTTGGTTTGGTTTTTAATTTCTTAATGCAGGTCTAGTTCTTTAGTTTATGGCTGGAGATTCTTGTTCACCAGCAGTTTTCCTTTTTTTATGCTGACAAGTAAAGCCTTATTTATGCAGAGCAGCACTGTGAAGACTCAAGCTGATTTCTGACGGAGTGAAGGTCTATTTCGAATGAGCAGAGTTGGCAGAATCGGTCCCACTTGTTCCCATGTGCTTTAGGAAGCAGTTATGAAACAGGCTTGTGAAGTGGGGGTGTCACCCCTTTTTGAGTAAGACTAATACTTCTAAAAAGCCGCTCTCTATCCTTCTCCCACATCCCTGTCCAACACTGAAACAAGGAAGTGTTGTTTCGCATTTGTTATACTTTTGAACAACTATTTATCAGACAGATGCCGGCGGTTAAGGTTTTTTTCAGTGCAGTTCGCAAGTGTGAAAACGTTGAAGTCCAGGCTCAGCAAAAACCTCAGTGAAAAACTCTAGCTCACGAAAGCCCTTGATTAATGACAAGCAGGTTTCAATTCATGCATGGCATTTTATGCAAATACAGAACACAGCTACATGCAGAATGGTGGGCAACTGCATATGCCTATCGATGTCTACAGAGGCTCAACATACCTGCCCGGGGAAACAGCAAAGGGGCAGAGACAGCGGAGGTGCTGTGCACGGTCTCCCAGCTCCGGAGGTGAGCCGCAGGGCTCTGCTCAGGGTGCTGGGATGTTGAGCAAAAACTGATTGGGGGGAAACTTGGATACAGCTGGGTATTTTGAGAAGGGGGAAAAGAACTGGCTCACTCTTCCTTCATCTCCAATACTGCTGCGGTGGCTGTTTCTCTCTCCCAGGGATCCCTCTGGACAAAGTGAGGGAGCGGGCAGAGTAACTGAGCTGCCTGCAAAGCAGGTGGGACAGCAAGGAGTGATGTATTGGCTACCCCTTTAGCTCAGATTGAGCTGTGGGGATGCATGACAACCTTCTCAGGTCACAGTTGTCACACAAGCAGCTTGCCTCTTGGTAAACGTATTAATATCTTTGCTTAAATGGTTTCCCTTAGTCTCCTGAAAGGTTCTTCTAAAAATGCTAAAAAACTCCCATCCCAAGTCCCAGTGGAACTGGATTTCTCCTCTCCCTTAGCCCCTTTTCCCTTCAATATTAGGCTCAGTATCTTGCATATGTTTTTATATGAAACTCTGTGATTAAAAGAACTTAAGACTGGCTCATTTTTCTATGCAATGAGTTCAGTTATTTCCTTTTTATACCTTCCAGAATTTACTATACCATATCTAAATATTGGCTGCAGTCCACATGTTTTAGATCATTCTCTATAATGGTCCTGTTGTTATAGAATCCTTTGTGTGTGTGTGAGAAAGAGAGAACATGCATATGTGTTGGAAGCGAGGCAGGGTGCATATAATTGTTTGGAAAGAGAAATCAGGGTATATTAATTCCATAAGTGATTTCTGAACTGATAACATAAAAGTGATAAAAAGAGCGAGCAGTGAAATTATAGACCTCCAGTGCATTACATTGTATGTGTGGTAAATACTACTTCTGATCCCAACATGTTACTCTACTATATATATTCTACCAATAAAATGACTCATTCACCTTCCGTTGCTATATAATTTAAAAGATTGGGCTTGCTGTTGTCACATTTCCTTGTTTTACTTACGTTCTAAAGGCAGATCCTTCGACCCGAGTCATACAACATGTTAGTCAATGGTAAGCCACATGAAGGTGAAGCCAAGGCACCATCTGAAAGTCCTTACTCACTACACTAAAGGCTCATTACCTACTAAAGACCCGACAGAGAATGTACATGCATAGGCTAAGTTAGCGATCTAGGGGAAAAGAAGGATTTGATGCTTCGTTTGATGAATCATAAGCTTTAACCAAAACAAACAAAAAACTTTCCTCACAGCATCATAACGTATGGATAGAGCTTTTGAGGATTTAACTGAGAAAAGGCTCTCTGCTCCCAGGACAAAACGCAGCAAGTAGCCCTGTCCCAGTGCACACCTTTGACTCTTGCCTGTGACTCCACACGTGGAGGATACATTTAAGTGGCAAACGGGCAGCATCGATCGACTGCATGTTCATTCCCTACATGGACTGACTTTGTGCACAGCAAGTGTGACTTTGCTCACAGCCCGTCAGATAAACCAGTTCATACTCACAGCAGGCTGAGCGTCCTCACCATTGCGGATGTGGAGTCATGGCAAATTTGCTCCCAAATTTCTTTTAACTTCTCCTCGTGGACAAGTCCTAACACAGGCTGCCAGTGACATAAATTCAGGCCACTTTCCCATGTGGAGACGTTCTCAACCACCCAGAACAGAACAGATTCAAAGACCCCTGCACTAACTATTCCACTCATGTCCCACCCTGTCGGGCCCTGACTCGGGGATTAGGCAGTTCAGAGGGCTGAGTGGATATCACTTTGTGCCGGAATGAATTTCACCCAAAGAGAGTATGCTTAGTTTCTATAATTTTTTTCCCCACAAGCTAAGATAAATTTCTGCTGTGGTCCATTAACAATACTTGTATTTTTAATCAGAATTATTTTGTACTCTATTTTCTTTGGAAATAACAGTAATACAGTTTATGTGAAATACAAACAAATGAGGGAACGATTTTTACCTAAATGTATGAATAGCATTTTGCAATTTGTCATTGTGATATATTTATCTTTTGAACTTTAAGTGAGCTCAGCTGAAAAAAATGCTTCTCTTCAGCACATGACTGGAAAATATATTACACCAGAGAAGTATATTGCTGTTTCAGTTTAGAAATTAGTGGCTAAATATAATTTTCCACTATACTTACTTTCACAAAGTATGTAGTAAATTATTTACATTACAGTAAATTCTTAGTCCCTATTCCAAAAGGTGTTAAAATCAGCATTCTCGTTCAAAGGGATGGCTATTTTGTGAATGTGCATTAAAACTAAGATCCTTAAGATCTTTTGTTGCCTGCTGAAGCCTTACAACCACCGTCATATGGCCAAAACAAAACAAATTTGTCCACAAAACGAACCCTGAGGGGAGGAAAAGGCCCTAGTACGGAGCAGAAAGATACAGGCTGGCCAGCGAAGCGACGACAGCTTACAGCAGCTGAGGATTTGGGTCTGCTACGCGTCTCACACCCACCTCCTTCTAGCGGCACAGCGTACGCTAGTTCCTGCGGGCAGTCCTTCTGACCTTCCAGCAACTTCCCACGGATCCGAGAGATGCCTACGGTTCGCAGCCGGGCACGCTGCGCGGCTGACCGCAGTGGCGGCAGGGCAGGAGGCCTCTCCCGGCAGCGGGAGCAGCAACATGGCGGTGCCCGGGCTCGCCGGCTTCGCCGCACGCCCGCACAGGTAAGTCGCTCCCCGCTTCGGAGCTGCTCCGGCAAACGGGGCCGCTGCCAGGGCGGCAGAATCGGTTCAGCCTGCGCCTCGCTGCCTCCCGTCCCCGGGACGGCTCGGGAACAGGGAGGAGAGCCGGCTGCAAGGCTGAACGCACTCTTCCGGCAATGGCAGCTGCTCCCAGCCGCCATTTTGCCCAGGGGTCATCTGCCTGTCACGTCCCAGACGTGTAACCCTCGTGCGATGGGAGAGCAGCCAAGCAGCCGTCAGGAAGGGCTGGGGCCGGGTGGGAGCCGTGGCTGCTGCCAGAACAACTCATCCGACACGCAGCCCCTTCCTTCTACGCTCCAGAGCGGTACCCGGGGAAGAAGGCTGCTGCGAACAGGCCGCAGGCCCGACAAATTGTCCCGTCTGCCACCAAAGCCCGCGCTCCGTAGGACGAGCACCTGTTTCCTACAGCACACGGTCGTCGTGTTCCCAAACCGCTCCGTCCCTTTGATAATTGGACCGCTTTTTGTCCGTTTTCCCAGCGCGCGTATACGGAGCACGAAGGAGGGCCCAGGGCTCGCAGCGCCAGCTGGGACCTCAGGGAACGGAGATCCATTCCTCCTCTCCCATGGCCGAGCGTTCGTTCCCGCCCGACCTTGGGCAAACCACGTACACCCGGCTCGGTGGAGGTGCTCGGATGCCTACCTCCCACCGAGCTGAGCGAGAACAGAAAAAAAAAGCCCGCACCCTATCAGGAAATGGCAGATGCGAACATTCCCTCTCTTCCAGGGCCGTTACGAAGACATTTCTTGCCTACAGAAACTAGGGTAATGGCAGTCATTCAAAAACCGTATATATGAGAGACAGTAGCGCAAACACGGAGGAAAAGCTGCGCGGCTACCTAAGGCGAAGAGACATCTTTAAATGTTTTGGGTTGTGACTCAGAATTAGTAAAAAGAGGTTTAAACAAATCTTCATACTTGAAGTTCTGTCTGAAAATATTCCTCGCCTTTTATTTATTTTTTTGAATAATGATATTAGTAAGAGTCCATTATATAATCACGAGAAAATTAAAACTCTCCAGGGCATGATCTTAGCTGTGTAATTAACTGGGGTGGTTAAAAGTACAAAGTGAACCTGAAGCAAAATTTTGTACCAGAACCACACCTCATTATGTTTTGCTGCCCAAGTCTGTCATAAATAGAGATGTTTATTACACATCTGCCATTTAAAGTACATATTACATGCAATTTTATATTTTATTTAGATTTAAAAATTTAAAAACACATGATGACAAGCTGTGTTACTATTAACACATGTCTCAGGGACCAGGGGTGCGCATTCACATTGTGCCTTAGGTTATATTACAATTCAGCCACTCCAGAGTTACAAATCGTTTACAGAAGTATATTGTGTAATTAGTGTGCCTGACTTCAGTCCATGGAGTTTCATTGGTGTGGAAGAACAATCAAGCCCTGTATATCCATTCACATTTATTAGACCAAACTTTGTTGCCTGTCCTCAGAGCGCCGCTCCCGCCTCTGCTTTCAACAACAAATGGCACTAAAATCTCCAGAGCTTCCCAAAGCAAAAGCAGTTACTTTCTTTCCTTATGACTATTTTCTTTCTCTTTTTTTTTTTTTCGTCACAGCAGAAGTGATTCAGTACTGACTCAAGTGTATGGGCAGAAAGGGCAGGAGATGATGCACTACTTACTCTCTTCTTTGGGTTTGCTTTCCTGAACAGACTGCCCTCCTGGACTAGCTCCAGGGCTGGCTTTGAAGAAATCTTTCACCGAAAAGCTTTCTCAGAAAAATCATCTTGTCCAGGATCTGCGTGGATTGAAGTCCCTCTGCCTGCATATAGGTTATTTCCAGCAGATGCTAAGCAATTCACTTGGCCAGTGAGGAAAAGCAAATATAGTTTCTTTGATGCAAGAATTTTGATGAAGAAAAATGCCACGTACTAGTCAGCTTTTCTTTCTAAGCTGGTTATCTGAAGTCAATCTCTATCACCATTTCCTAGTTATCAGATCCTCTTAGTTGAGCGTTAAGGTAGGACAAATTTAGTCTATCTTACATATCTAAGATACATATCTGCATAATGTTGAGGATAGTGTTGCCATGCTGTGGATAGTGTTACTCAGATCACTGGCAAAGGAAGTTAACCTTTAATATCAGCCCTACCAGACTTTTCTGTAGCATTTCATAGTATGGATCACCTGGCAGTCCTGACTGGTTTCTAAAAAGCTAAAGTAGCAAATAGGAATGCTGCAAAATGAGTCAGGCCCATCCCTTCAGACCAAGTCCAGGGAACTACAGAGTCCAGTGGCACCTGCAGCCCCCAGTCCTTACCCTGAGGAGTCTTTCAAAGTTTAGTCTTTGCCTGATCAGTCAATCTGCAAGACCTAGCAGTAGGGAAAGAGCTGAAACGCTAGCAGTTCACAAAGCCTGTCCAGCTCTGTACTCCTCCTCAAATATAAACAGCAAAATCTCCCAAATTCCTCAATGCCACACTATAATCGAGACCTGTACATAAAATAACTGGCAAAAACCGAACCCAAGCCATCACGTGTTAGAAAGAGGGATGCACCTAAAACCATTTCCGTAACAGCAACATTCTCCAGCAAGGAGACCTCTGTCCACAGTTTTTAACTTAGTTCAGAATCTTAGGGTCACTTCAGACACCAAAATCACTCCAGCAGAAGTAAAAAACTGAAATGCTATCTGAGCTTAACAGGAAAAGGTAAAGATGCCTCCACTGGCAGAAAAGCTGCAGTGGGAGCTCAGCAGTCCTCCTCCTTTTTTTGTCTGTCACCACCCCTTTGAGTACGCTCAGGCTGGTCAGGCAATAAACATACATATAGCTTGGAATCGGACACAACGTATATTGTTTCTTGTCCATTTGATTGTCGGGGTCATGGAGGGAGCTGGGTTAACCACACACGTATCTGAGTGACAGAGGATACTGAGGGAGGGGACAGAAGAGGGAAGGGACTACAGCTGTGGTCGGGGTGCTGAGAAAGGCATATCAAGCATAACACAGAAACTTGTTTCATTTATTCCACTTATGAGAATACTTGGATTTATCGACAATATTTTTCACACACTTTTTTTCTTGCGCTTTTAAAGTCTGGCTACCTTAGTACCACAGGTCTAACTACCAAGCCTGATGAAAGGAAAAAAGCACATATTAACACATTAGAACCCTCTTAATATATCCAGAATAGCTTTTCCATACAGCAGTTTGATGCACAGCAGTCCAATGGCAGTTCTAGGGTCTATTTCCATGTGATTGAGTATGTATAACAACTAATGCCTTAGAGATTTTTCAGCTCACATGTGGCATAAAATTCTACATTACCCGATAGGTTAAAATGGATAGCAGAAATTTAACATAGATCCAGGCAGAGTATTGTTTATCCTACCCATTAAAGGATGATGTTCCATATTAATGGAAAAAGACAAATGTTTTATTGCGGGAAGCGGGTGTTAGCAACGTATATTTAACTGCTTGACTTTGCTCCACTTTCAGTAGAGAATAGCCACAAGCAAGCCACTCCAAACAAGAACCAGTAAAATATATGCAACATACACCATGTGTCTCTAGTGTCTAAATGTGTAGTCCATAAAGATACCTATCTCAATTAAAATTTGAACTCTGAGTTTAAGAAATAGAAAGTCACTGTCTTTCTTCTTTGCCCTTAAAGCCAAATGTTTAAACTTCTGTGAGTCTAGTAACAAGTGTTTTAAATAGAAACATGTAAGTCACAGTTTCACATAGATTATTATTTTATAACAGAGTACTTAGAATAGGTGCTACATCCATATCAGAACTGAACAGGTAGTAACTTTATTTTGATTTCTGACAATGTATAATATAACATTTGCCCAGTAACATCAGTACAGAGGCTTCTGTTGAGTTGAATAAGATTCTTGGAGTGTAAATTGTAAGTAAATCCCCAATATCCAGATGTCAGAACGTTGGTTTATTTCAAGTGTTCGTGTCCTTTAAAACAGAATATATTTATCTGGAATTCTTACTGTTTGACAGATTGAACACTCTCCTAAACTCATGAACTTTGTGTGAAGTAAAGAAATTTAGATGGAACTTTCATACATTAATTGGCATAACTAAATAATGGAATAACAGAGCTGCATGGAATATAATACTCTCCTATTTCCAAAGGTCTATCTCACTCAAACCAAGACAGCTTACCTTCACTGAGAATTCAATAATTCATGGGCTAAGTACTTTGGCCAGGACCCAGTCGAGTAGGTAATTCTGCTCTCTTCAGTGGAGTTTGTCACATGCCTAAAATTAAGCAGGAGATTACGTGCTTTGCTGGACAGAATGCAGAGTACTCCAGATCTTCTCAGATTCTCATCTGCAGGCTGAATATATGGACACTTTGTATTTTGTTTTGTTGTATAGGGCTGCATAGATTTGAAAAAGTAGAATCAAGAGGGAAACTGATGAAACTAGGAACAAAGACTTGAAATTGGCCTCGGTTTTGATCCAAAAGTGGGCACCAATCTGTTTTTGCAGGATTCTGCCGCTGCTGCAGTCAGCAGAGAAGATCAGCTGAAGCCATCTTAGTTTTGGAGATAGGTACTGTTGGAAAGATACTTGTATTGCATCAGTACCCCTATTACATTAACATTTAGGGCAAGCTGCAAGGCTCTACTAATTTTGCAGGGACTTGGGAGTCTCAATACAGAGACAGCGTAGGGAAGACTGCAGAGCACTGGAATATTTGGGGAAGGCAATTTGCTTTTGATGTCACAATTTGGTAATTTGTTTTGTTCTGTGGGGAGGACAGGCTTCTGAGAATTGTATGCTTTTAAAAGAAACCCCTAGTATGTTCTGCAAAACAAATGGCACACCACCAGCAATCATGTTAAGCCTGTTCTTCTAAAGAAACAATCCATCAATTTCAACCATACTTGAAAAAACAGTCAAAGTCTCAAAAATAATTAGGCTTCTACAAGTAAATACAAGGGATCTAAATGACTGCTCCAATAGAGGGCAAGTTGGGCAGAATTCAGGTGTAATACGTTAAATTTGACAGAAGCCCTTTATCCAATCGGTACAAATGATTGACTGGCCATTCAGAACATGTACTGTTCCAGGCTTGCTACAACACTCCTCTTTTTGTCTGGTAGGGAAAGTCAAATGTGGGGTTGTTTGCAGCAAAAAGGAG